CATGTCTCCCACCCCTTTAGTTTAGTGCCAGAAACAAGACAATATAATCTTGAATCTGAAAAGCTGAATTCCTTATTTTTTTTCTTTTTCTTTTTCCTTGTAAGTCGTGTGGCAGGAGACCCTTAACATCTAATCAAGAGCCAGGAACTGAGGACTTGATGAAATAACGGTGTCATGATGACATGTAAAAGGTTGCAGTATCAGCTAAAGCTATGAATGTGCAGGTCCATGTCTCTGTTGTTGATGCAACAGCAGAAAAAAAGTAACATAACATAAACTCAGCATTTGAGAAGGACTGAAAATTTAATTTAGTGAAGCCGAAGTAAGGCTAATCAAGTAAATAAGTGAAAAACTGAATAGATAATAAACACATAATTTATTGAAGATGGTGAGTAGCTGAGGGTTGTGTTGATTCAAGGAGAGAGTTCAGAAATCTATTCTAAGTGTCTGTAACACATCATTCAGCCTCCAAATGAGTGAAGTCAGACAAATTTCTAGCTGATGAGTGCCCTCTGATATATAACCTGCTTAAGAGATTTAAGGCTAGAGCATTATTGAGCTGATCTCATTATAATTCCTGAGATGCCAAGCAAGGCATCTTGGATTGATCATTAATTGATCTGGGGTCTTACTGACAACAGAGTAAAACTATTGTAGCCATGAGGAGGTATCACTTTGTATGCTTTTATTAAATTTGTTACTCTAAGCTGAGTTGCTGTACAATTGCAGTTGTCTAAATTGTGGCCTTCTGTGTTAATTGTTGTAGCCGAAAAATTTTCATTCTTGGGCCTTCCCATCACGTGCCCCTCTCCCGATGTGCACTTTCCAGTGTGGACATTTACAGAACACCTCTGTATGATCTTCGAATTGACCAAAAGAGTAAGTGCATTATAAAGCTTGGACTTCACTGAGGCTTGGGTATTGACTGTGGTACTACAGTACTGAGGATTTCCTTGCTGGGCACTTCCTTGCTGTAAGTGGCATACAAGTGCAAATCTGCTTTGAGTGGAACAAAAACTAACTTCTGAATGATCCTGGTTGCTTCAGACATGGTCGCATTATAATCATAGTGTCTCTTTTCCTTCTGGCAAGAATTCTAAATTTTTGCTTATCTTTTCAAGTTTGAGTGTGTGCTTCAGGGTTTTAAAACTAAAAAAGTGTTACATCAAATAATAACTCACTAAACATCTTCTCCATTCTCCTGTGAAGTGTTCTGGCTGGAGAGAAAGGTTCTTCAGTTGGTTTGAGTTTGATTTCTGGTAGAGGAAAAACAGAGAAACAAATAAATTGCTTTTATTTGGATTGCAAGTGACTTTTTAACTTGCCATCTTAGAAACTGTTAGTCCATGAAATGCCAGTCTTTTGAACAAAGTGTGGCAAAGATAAAGTTGACATTTTGGCTTTCATATGTTTTGAGGTATACCTAAGTGATACAGTATCTTTTCCAGAGGGGCTAATTAGTGCAGATGTGTTATGTTTCATTGAAACTGTGATTAAACAAGCTAATTCAGGCTTTCTGCATAGTGCCTGCAGAGATTTCCTTTGGTAAGAAATGTTTGGCTTTTTGTAGAACTCCTTTATGTAGTCAAGAAGGACGCACAGCCCTACATCAAATTCCTCATCCAGTGGAGGATTTTCAAGATGTGGAGATGAATCTGTATACTCTCAAGTATGCTTGAGAATAGAAAAGATAACTTACAAATGTGGATTACTTAATCAGCTGTGGCTGTCTCTAGATTTCATGATTCAGTCAATAATAAATTCTATTAAATAGTAACAAATCGAGCAATATCTCATCTGACAAGATGGTTTTTTTACCGTATAATGGGCAGTTTTTGAAAATAAAAATTCATTGACTGGGCAAATGCATGTATATTTTGAAATGTGTTTTATTTGTTTAATTAGATTTTGTGTCATAACTGAAAATCTTTTTCAATATACTAAAAAGGTCACTCATTTAACACATTTTGTAAACGGAATCAATTATGTTTATTTTTTAATGGCTTAAACATAATTTTAGTTCTGGGTTTATTTAGAAACAAGTGGTTTATGATGATAGCCCTTGGAGGCAAGTAATTTTTTATAGTGGGTATGTTCTGATAAAGGTACACTGTAGCTTGCTTTTTGCACTTGAAATAGTTTTCAAAAATAAGCAATAAAAAAGAAAAAAGTAGTAAAAATCTTTATCTATATGACCTTTATTTCATTTCAGTTTATGGAGAATTGTGGAAGACTGGAATGTTTGAGCGCATGTCCCTACAGACAGATGAAGATGAACACAGTATTGAAAT